CCCAGGGACAACCCCATTAGCATTTTGATGTATTTCCCCCAGAGTCTGCATTTTTTATATAAAATGGGTAGCATGCAGTATTGCCAGTTCTGCACCCTGCTTTTAGTTCAAACTATTTATTTGCCGTTCCGAGTAAATTGTTTTTTTCTTAAAAAAAACCAACCTCAGTCTGTAATGGCTGCATACACCCATTCGTAGGTGTTTGCTTTTATTGGGCCATTCCCTGCTTCCGGACATTCGTTTCTAATTTTTTACTAATAAACATATCGTTGCAGTGAATTTCTTCCTGGGTAAATCTTTGGGCTGATTTCTGCTTATTAGATTCCCAAGGGGGAGTTTTTTGGGGGGTAAAAGAAACAGTTTCAAGGCCTTTAAAACATATTTTGAAAGTGTGCTCTAGAAAGCGTGCCCAGTTCACCCTCCAACGAGGAAGTAGGAAGCATGGACATGCCATTTCTTAAAACTGTTACTAACACTGGGTATTACTAATGAAAAAAAAAAACAACCCACAAAAACAAGAACCTCTTTCAAGCCATAGGTTTTTCCCCACTTCAACACCCTGCTCTGTAGTAACTGGTATATTGGTTGAAAATTCTCCATTTTGCCGATGGGAGGATAGGGCCCCAGAGAGCAGAAGTAGACATACAGTGGGGCCTTGACTTACGAGTTTAATTCGTTCCGTGACGGAGCTCGTAACTCAAATTACTCGTATGACAAATCAAAAAGTGAACGAGTGAGACACGTGATGCTGGGCTGATGTTGTGGCGTTCACTGTGACGTTCGCTGCGCTAACTAGCGGTGGGGTATCTGAAGCTGGCTCGTAACCCAAAGCACAAAATCGGCCGAGAGACGGCTCGTATCTCAAAAAACTCGTTAGTCGGGAACTCGTAAGTCAAGGCCCCACTGTACTTGGCTTAGGTCAGATGCACGGATTAGCCAAGGAAAGGCAGGCCTGGAACACAGCATCCTGCCTCTTAGAGCCTCTTTCCTGTACCCGCGTGGAGCGCTCCCCCCACTGCAGATCTCCTGGGCCAGGGCTGGCCTGCCCGCCAGGCCACACCCTCCTGCAGGCCTGGAGGTCTGGGTTGGGAGAGGTCACTGGGCATGGCCCATCTGGCCTCTTGATCAGGGACCACGTGGCCCCTAAGATCCTCTCCACCTGCACAGCCATGGTTTTTGCTCCCTCTCTTGCATTCGTTTATCGATTTGGCAAGGGCACTGGTCTAGGCTCCGGGCAATTGATCCTTCACTGTCGGCCACGGCCCATGCGAGTCACAGCCCCTTCAGTATCTCCCAACCCTTCCTGCTTAGCCCTGTGTTTTCCAAACTTGTGTGATGATCACAGGCCTGGGATGCTTGATAAGCATACGAATCACCAGGTCTTCCATCTGCAAAGTGACTGTAAGCCTGGTTCTGGCCCTAGAATCCATTTGCTATTGTTGTTTTGTTTGTTCCGACTGATTCTTACATTCAGGCAAGCTCAGGAGCCAGTGGGGAAGGATCCCCAAGCACTGACATCTGGTGTAGTGCTCTCTCTCTCTCTCTCTCTCTCTCTCTCTCACACACACACACACACACACACACACACACACACGGCTCAGCCCCCTCGGGCCCTGCTGGCTGCCCTGCTGTGCCCTTAGCCTCAAATTCATCAAAGCTAATGACAATCTTTTTTTTCCCCTCTGATTTGCAAGCGATTAGTTTTAATTTGGGGACAATTAGAGGTAGAAGTAGGAGGCATCTGATCTTGATTAGAACCAGGGAGATGGCCAGAGGCACCCCACCTCTCGCCCGCCTGGCCCTGGCCCTCGCCTCCACGCAGATGAATTTATATATTCAATGTTGGGGGACACTGGCTGCTGTGCCTGGGCAGAGGGTGCTAAGGTTGTCGGGGGTGGCCGGAGACCATGCTGTGCTCCCAGAGACCTGGGGCCGGCCTGAGATGAATAGGGAGGGCCTCTGTCCAGCCACTGGCCCCGCAAGAGGGTAGAATTGGCATTTGCTAAATTACCTACTGTGTGTCACACCGCGTACTATGCAAAGCTGGTCTAGACCCAGTGTCTGCCCCTACTCCAATCCAGCTGGAAAGGCAAACACATGAACAGCTGCATGCCTTCTGGTGTTGGAAGTGGCTGGAGAGACTTCTGTCTACACTGGCAAAGGGGCACATAGGCCAGCACCCTGCCCCCAGGGAGCACTCGCAGAACTAATGAGATCATCTGCACCTCGCACTCATACCAGGACCGAGCTCCTGCTCAGTCAGAACCAGAGCCGGACAGAGCACAGCAGCAGCAACACACCACCCAGGTGGTGGCAGTGAGAGGCATCAGGGAAGGCTTCAGGGAGGAGGTGATGCCTGGGCAGGTCATGGAAAGAGGAAGGGACGCCATACCCCACTACATAAGCACTAAAACTGTTGTACCCCAATACCATCTTGTCTGCTCCCCTTTCTGAAAGCTAGCTGTTTTCTTAATGCACGTCGCTGCCCCTTCCAGAATTTCAGTCTCCTTATGTTCAAGGTTGCTGGGAGGGGTCTAGAGCCCCGTGCCAGCAACCCTTCCCCTCGGTGGCCATCCAGGCTCCTCTTGGGTGCCTCAGGGAAGAGGCACTCGCTAGCCCACAGCCTCCTAGTCAGTGCTGGGCAGCTCACCCAGAGAATTCCATCGATGCAACCAAAATCTACTCAGGGCAAGGTGTGCTTGCAGACACGTTTCTCCAGTCCCTCCCTCCACGCCCCTCTGAGTCTGCTGCCCAGCTGGTGGCCCCTGCCCCCGCTGTGTCGCCAAGGGGTCCAGATGGCCAGCCGTGAGGTTGGGACGATAAGAGGGTCAAAGGGCACTAAGTGCCACTTAGCAGGCTCTGGGGTCTCCGGCGGATGCTAAGTGAGGCAGGGCCAGCGGTCTGACTTCCGCATCCCCTCTCCCCCGTCCACCTGGCCTGAGAATGGGCAACTGCAGCTCCCTGACCACAGCTGCCCTTCTCCACCTGCAGCAGGACAAGCACAGCGGTATCTCCCCATCTCGGCCTGCACATCCCTCCGCATCGAACAGTGTCCCTCCTCCCTCCTTGGTTTCCTGTGGCTACTCTCAAGGTCCCTGTGAGCAGGCTGATGTCACCACCTCAGTTTTAGAGGTGAAAACTGAGGCTCCAAAATGGAAGCAACTTGCTCGCCCAGTGTGGCAAGGAGGAGCCTTGAACTTGCGTCCTCCCCAGGCCTCTGTCTGCTTGTCTGCTTCCTGCTGCTTCCAAAGCATCTGGTTGGCTGCTGTTCCCTGGCTCAGACCATCATCCTGGACTCCCACCCTCGTGCCTTGGGGCCAGCCTCGTCCCAGGTGGCGGGGTACCGTATCAGAGCCTCTAGGGGTAACTGCGGGGCAGGATTCCAGGGACCCGCCTTGCCAAACATCTTCCTGTCCTCATCTGGGACTCAGCTGCCCACCTCCATCCCACCATCAGCAGCGGCATATCCTGCAGGCTGCAGAGGAGGGAAGGGTGGCCTGGGAACAGAGTTCTGGGAATGGAGGGAGCAATCTGGTGTAAAAGCATGGGCTGCCCAGAGCCCAGCAGTGCCCCCAGCGGGTCCTAAGGGCGCTGCTCAGAAGGCACGCTGAGACCAGGCACCACTCCTCTTAGAACAACTGTCCTAGGGCTTTTGCAGAAATTGAGCATGCATCTTGGAGAGCTTCGTGGAGGAGGTGACTTTGGAGGAAGATTCAGATGTGGATGTGTGCAGAGAGGAAAGGAAAGGATTCGACCCAGAGGGCACAGCATGAGCAAAGGAGGGGAGAGAAGGCAGCATCAGCAGTGCTAACGCCAGGAGTTGTCCAGTTATGTTGGCAGTGGGGCTTGGGAGGAGGATTCTTGGGGGAAGGGGACCCTGGAACCACGTTCTAGAGGGCCCTGAATGCCACCATCACAGTCTGGATTTTATTTGGGAAGCAGAAGGAGAGACCATTTAATGATACTTAGACGCAGTTGCATTGTGTGGTACAACTTGTAGAGCACTTTCTTATTTGATTCTCAAAAAACCCAACAAATGACAACACAACATCCTGTGAGACAGCATTGCTATTATTACCCGGTTTCAAAGGGGAGGAATGTGACTCAGGGGCCCTTGGGAAGACCCAGAACTGGTTCTCAAACCTCAAACCTCCACATCATGGTCCTTCCTGCTCCCTGACCGTGTCCAGCGGGTGAGCTGGGAGTGAGGGGCCGACACGGTCCGATCTGTGGTCTAGAGGAACCGATCACTCTGGCTGCTGTGTACGGGAGGGGGTGCCAGGGAGGGGGTGAGCTGGAGAAAGGGGAGACTCAGACGGTGTCACGTTGTCATAGCAACAGGAGTGAAGCCAGACTGGGGCAGGGGCCTGGGCATGGAAGACAGGGGGCAGCCTGGGACATACCAGCGAGTTAAGAGGTGGAATTGCTGGAACCTGGTGGCTCCTGCGAGGATGAGGGGAGGGGCCTGAGAGGAGGGAGAGGTCAAACCTGAGGCCGACATTTGGGTTTGGAGACTGAGGATCGAATTCCCTGTATCTCTAGGGTGTGGAGGTGCATGAGGTCCCTGGGAACCCGCACCATCTGAGGCAGCTGGGCCAGTTAGGGGCTTGGGTTGGAGGGTCAGGTGGCCCCAGGCTTGGGGATAAGTTACTTAAGCGTCTTGCACCTTTATCGGTGAGATGTAAAAATAGGCTTTCGAAAAAGAGAAGTTATTGATGGAAAACTGGTTCAGTCAATGGAGATTGTAATCAGATTTGCTCAGAGGATTGATCTGAGGATGAAATAAGCTAATGCTGTTGAGCCCTGGGCGAGGTGATAATGGTGCGAGCTCACACTTCCTCAGCACCACACTCCGCCCTCGTGCACACGACTTAGTAAGACCTCACAGTGGCACCTCGAGGCAAGAAAACGTTATCCTCCTTTCACAGAGGAGGACGCAGGGGGATGGAACCTCTTTAAAGCTCCGAGACGCTTTGCGCCGGAATTAACTTTACCCCCACATGGCAGATAAAGAAATGAAGCCCGCACCAGGCCAGGGGGGCAGCTCAGTGAGGGAGTGAACATCCCTGCAAAGGTGGGGCCAGGCTCAGAGCCTGGGCAACCTGGCCCTGGCCCCCCCAGGACCTAGAGCCAGGCTGGGCGCTGCCCCCCTGTGGAGTGGATGGCCCCGCGTGAGAGTGGCCGACCGGGGTGTCCTGGGGTCCGAGCACAGCCTCTCCTGACCACCGTGGGGTCTTTCTTCTGTCTGTCCCCAGCCTCCGGCCGCTCCCACCCAGCCAGCCCCAGCCCGC